GAGGACCAAATTAGAGTTTAACCAATCCCCATTCATAACCCAACTAAAACCCCAAAACTTACCCTTTCTCTCCACCGTCAGATCTGGTTGAGCAATCTCAATATACTTGATTTCTTATGCAAAAGTAGTCAATTTTGAAGGATTGCCAATTGCTTCTAAAGGATTCGTCTATGAGAGAAAGAAGCATGGATCTAAGTAATTGCAAAAGAAAACTTTTTAACCAGATTTGAAACAAATATGTAGGCAAAGAAAAAAAATAAAGAAAAAACTAAAGATATGGGAGCAGTAGTGGAAAAATAATCAAAGAAAGAAAAAAAAATTAGTACTGAAAGCAGAAAATCAAAGATGGAATTTTTTATAAAAAAAGTACAGTAAAAGAAAGGGGATAATCGGTGAAAAAAGTGTAGAGGTCGACGAAGCGGGAGGGCTTGAGAATTAGGGGTAAGTCGGCTGTATCCGGTGGAATACCGTTGACGTGGTATCCTTAACCAATGATAACATATCACATTAATAAAATTTTTTTTACCTCATTAATTATATCAATTCATTTAATAAAAAAATAATAATATGAACGGTTCGTTTCGATCAGATATTGAACTTTGAATTAGAGTTGTTCACCTTCAATGAGCTGCACATTCGAATCCCATAAAATCTCTTTTTTCTTTCCTCTAATTAACATGTAAATAATTACAAATTATTTAAAAAATAATAATAATAATAATATATTGTGATTGATTTGAGATACCAGTAATATCTCCGGATAAATGAGAATTTTTCCTAGAACTAGAGCTAAGGTCGGTCAATTGAGATTTGACATTTGGACATTTCGTTTTTATTTCTCTTAAATTCAAGGTACTATGAATTAATGTAAGTATATGATATTCCATCAAAATATAAAATGACGTGTCATAATGTAAATGTAAGGAGTACTGTTTGAAGGAGTACTGTTCAAGTGCACTCGCTAGAAGCGCGTGCTCCTATCAGTGCTCTTAAAATAAATAAAAATCTCTTACTTTACTGTTTGAATTGTGTTTAACGGTTAAATATGAATGATTAAAATAAATTATGTATTTTTTGGTTAAATATTAATTTGAGTCCTTTAACTTTAGATTTTTGTGTGGTTTTTATGCAATTTTTTTAGTCCATAAATTAGGAAAAATGTGTTTTTTTTAAATCTTTTTATTAGTTAATCTATAAAGTTTATTTAAATATATATATTTTTAATTCCTAAATTTTGAAGTTGAGGGACAAAAATTTGCATGTATTATAAGTTGAGAAACTAAAAATATGTTTATTTGGATAGATATAATATATTAATTGACAAAAAGACTAAAAAAAATGTTTTTTTTTTTGTAGTTAAGGAACAAAGAAAATAAAAAAGTAAATGACCAAAACTATTTAAAACCCTAGAGTTAAATGACCAAAATTAACATCTAACCTTTTTCTTTTGTCGAAACTTTACACATGTGGGGAAAGTGTAGTCCTTTTTTATTTTGATCCTTTAATTATAAAAAAATGTATTTTTTAGTCTTTTTATTAATTAATTTGTTAAGTTTATTTAAATATGTATACTTTTAATCCTTAAATTTTGAAATTAAAGGATAAAAAAAAATATATTATAAGTTGAATGATTATAAATATATTTATTTGGATAGAGTTAATGTATTAATTGATGAAAAGACTAAAAATATATATTTTTTATAATTAAAAGACAAAAAAAGTATATAAAAAAGTAAAAGACCAAAACTATACAAAACCTTAAATTAAAGAACCAAAATTGAGATTTAACTTTCTTCTTTTTTTTTTCGAAACTTCACACGTGTGGGGAAAATATAGCCCTTTTATTCAAGGTTTAAATACTATTTCGGTTTCTCAATTTTTCATTTTGACACCAAAATTATCCTTCAAATTTAAAAAATATTAAAATTATCCTTAAATTTTTATTTTCGGTATCAAAATAGTCCTTCTGTCAGTTAAATGGATAAGTAACACGTTAATTTACTAGCAAATCAATTCCTTTTTTCTTAATTAATGACATGGAAAAAAATATATAGTTGGCCATCTGTTATGAGTTGGTATTTTTAATTAATTTAAAAATAATAATATCCTTTTTTTTTTTTCCATTCACGTCAGAAAAAAAAAAATTATTTTTCTTCTGCCTCTTTCACTTTCTCTCTCCTTTACCTTTCCTTTTCCCTTACCTCTGTAAACCTTAAAACCTGAAGCTTAACATCATCGAGTTTGATTTGGGTCATAATACATAACAGATGTGTTGAAAATTCATATTTATTTTCAATACTTGCTATGTTTGTTATGGTTATGGTGGAAAATCTTTTAACTTAACTTTTTTTTTTTTTTTCTGGAATTTTGAATTTGTGTGTTGCTATTTGGATTGGTTTAGGTGTGTTTGGATTGTGAATTTTTTAACATAGTAAATCATGGAATCAGCCAAGAATTCATAGATGAAGCGTTTGCGCAGAGCAAAAGATTGTTTTCCAATTACAGATCTAACTTTTCTGTCTCAAACTTCATCTTCTTCGTCATTTCCTCCTTCAATAGTTTTGCCTCCTCATTCTCTATCAACCTTCCTCCTTTCTTTCCCTGCTCATCCTTCTTCTTTCTCTCTCTTTCTCTTCTCCCTTCTTCTTCCTCTCCAAATCTGGGTTTTTCTCAAACCTAGATATGGGTCCCATCCTGGCATTTTCCCTACCAGTTGTTGGACTCTCTTCATCGAACCACTCTTTTGCCCCTTTACAAATTCATCACCGCCACACTACTGCACCTCAACACAACCCACGAAACCAACAACCACACAGATCGAAAAGGAAAAAGTGGAGGAAGAATAAGAATGGAAAGGTAGAAGAAGTTAAGAAGCCTAAGTGCAGATCAAATGGCAATGATGACGAGGATGAGGATGGCAATCTCGAAGATTCGAAGGAGAATGGAAAGGCAGAAGAAGTTAACAAGCCAAAGCAGAATAAACAGAAAAAGCCTATGGTCAGTGACGCGGAAGCCACCGCCAAGGTCGATCCTGCTGATCTAGTGGGTTTTTGACATTGGAGTTGCCCGAGTTTCGTGTGGAGCTTAAACTTTAAGCTGTAGCTGTGGAACTTCGTTATGTGTTTCAATTTCCTTAGTGACGAGAAGAACAGGGTCATCGGAATGTTTTGGTAATAAATTTCGAATGTTAGGCCATTTTCTTTGAGGGAATCAAAGATTTTTTTGGGGGGAATCCATGGATGAGATCCTTCCTCACATTGCTCATGGCTCTAAACGATGTGGTCAAGTGGGCGTCGAACCGATTCTGTTGAGTTGACATGGGAACTAACGCGAAGCACCTATCGAACACAGCAAACTCGTTTGCCAACTCAGTGTTAATAGGAACCCTAGCCCGCTCGAACCCACTCATGACAGTCTTCGCCATCCCTTCACTCATGCTCTCCGCCTGCTAAGCGAACCCATTCATCGATGCGGAGGAAAAGGGTTGGGAAAGAGGAAGGGGCGGAGGGATGAAGGAGAAGAAGGGGGGAAGAAGCATATGAATAATATAATAATAAATTATGTGGGTTTTTATTTAAATAAGAAAAAAAAATACCACATGAAAAAAAATGTGATCTCATCAAGTTGTTTTCCACGTAATTATTATTTTTTTTTAAATGTGATTTTGTGGCAAGATAACGTGCCACTTGTCCATTTAACTAACGGAATGACCATTTTGGTACTGAAAATGAAAGTTTAAAAATAATTTTGATATTTTTTAAAGTTAAGGGACAATTTTGGTGTCAAAGTGAAAAGTTGAGGGACTAAAATGGTATTTAAACCTTTATTCAAAACATGAAAACTGCATTAATCGAGAACTAAAAATGCAGCACGTGCATGGCACATGTCACGTGCTGATATGGATGAACCGATGAAGAACAAATATGAATCGTCATGCCTCCGTCACCCATTATTTTACCCCTCTCAATCTCCAGCCAGAGCCACTGAGAGTTAGCAAATAGATCGATCTCTCAATCTTTTGTGTCGCTTCGCTCCGCACGGACTCTGATTGATACTGCAAGTGAGTATTAATTTCTCGAATCAATTGCTGCTATTTCTTCATCGCTGTATAGTGTATTCAATTCGATCTCCATTTCTCTGAATTTCATATTGTTAAAATCATTCCTGGTGTTGTAGGATCCGTTTGGTTCCCGAGAAAACGAAAGAAAATGAAAAAAGAAATTCGTATTTGTGACTCATCAAAATACTGTTGTCAGTAATGCTTATTATTATTTTTTTTTGGTTTTTTTTTTTGTTTATTGGAAAGTATTTGGTTTAGGTTTTCGGATTTGAATTTGTTTTTGAATTTGAAAGTGCGAATTAGTTGGTGTTTGGCTGCTACTGTTTGGATAAAGAGAAAAGAAAAGGTGATTCGGATATGTTAAAATTTGGTGGATCTTAATCGTTGAACAACAATATTCTCATGTTTGTATATCCTTTATATACTCATATTTTTTGAGTGAATTCTCGTTTATTAATTGATGCAGTTTACACTTTCCGGCATAAATGCGAAATGTGTAAAGAAGTGTTAGAAACTTTATTTGGACTATCATGGGGTGTATGTACTCACTATGTGCATTTGTCAAATGCATGCCTGTGTATGATCTGTCTTTGTGTCTGTGCTTTTGCTTGTTTTGTCTTTACTTTGAGATAAAGATCTTGGCAGAACATGCAATATATGGTTTTGGTTTTGTTTGTGAAGGAAATGGGGGTATATCTTAGCTCTCCTAAAACTGAAAAGTTCTCGGAGGATGGTGAAAACAATAAACTTCGATATGGATCATCCTCAATGCAAGGATGGCGTTCAACCATGGAAGATGCTGTAAGTGCTCCACATAATATTGGAGTATTATTTAATTTAACCATATCTCTCTGTGGATAAGTTTACTGTCAAAAATACATGCTGTAGTACCACATAC